CATACTATTGTCTGTGTCCACGTGCTATGCATATATGCATGTAAGTTCTTTGGTTAGCCAATATTCACTAAATATTGACATTTCTTCTATCCCTTCTATAGCCATGTAGGAGCTAGAACAAACATTTATCGAGAGTTTGTTTATACAAATTTTATCAGTTTTCTTTTGTTACATAAGAAATTACTATAAATTTAGTGATTAAGAACAATACCCATTTACTTGTTCACGCTTCAGTGGGTCAGAAGTCTGGCATGGTGTGACGTGGTCACTGCTCAGAATGTCAGATATCAGAAGGCTGAAATCAAGACATCAACCAGACTGAGTTCCCCTCTGGAAGTCCTGGGGGAAAGGCTGCTTCCACGCTCATTCAGGGTGGCAGAATTCAGTTCCCCTTCAAGTCTCTGACTTTTGCAACCAGCCAGAGAAAACTCGTTCCTCCTAAAGGGCTCATGTGATTAAGTCAGGCCCACTTACTAGTAGATAATCTCCCGATTGTAAGGTCAACTGAGTTGGGACCTTAATTACACGTGCAAAAGCCATTTACAGCAGTAGCTGGATTAGCATTTAATTGAATATGTGGAAGAGTGTGTGTACATCGGGAATCTTGGAGACCATCTTAGAATTCTGCCTACCATACAAGGGAAGCAGAATGCTAAGAAATTTGAATGTATATTCTCACTTAAGTCTTTCATGACCCTGTGAAGCAGATACCACTATTATTTCCATTTTATTGGTTAGGAAACTGAGACACAAGAGAAGAGTCTAAGCAGCTGTTTTCACACAACTCTCCATTGCTCTTGGAATTCCCTGTCTATATTCATTTAACTACATTCTGAATGGCTTTCCTACCTCCAAGATCTTCCTCCTCTATTTTATCCTATATCCCTTGGCCAGACCAATGTTAGTTAAAAAAAAACATTTTCCCCCACCAGGTCACTTTCCTAGATATGGAGAATTATACATTGCTAGAGCAACAAAGAGGCGTGAGTATAATGTACTAGAAACTGAACTTATGGCCAAATATGAGAATCTATTCAGCTGTATCCTTGGCAAAGATTTTATGATACTAACATAGAATTGTAAGGTGTGAGTGTTAAGGCGGCAGGAGGGAGGTGTGTGCGCGAGTGATTATAACACAAGGTATAGAGTGTGGATTGTATCTTTCCAGATCAGAAGGAAGAGGTAAGTATGAATAATACTGAACAATAAGATATAACAGAGCATTAGGTTCAGAAGCAAATTTTATAGGTTAAATTGAAAGTATAAGAAGTTTATTATATTGTAGAGTACATATATATAAGAAATATACTTAAACACAGAATAAATCTCATTTATTTTTAAGAGATGAGTAACTTTAGAAGCTTGGTTTCACTTGCTTATTCATTAATTTGTTCAGCAAATATTTATTGATTGTCACTTTGTATCAAGCACTGTACCAACCAAATTAACTATTTTTCCCCCACTGGAGTATTGCAACAGCTTCCTCACTGGTTTTCCTGTGTATGTTATAATCCAATAAAAAGCTGAAAGAAAGCTGATCTGTGTCAGAAATAAACAAAAGAAAATGATAAAATATAACGTAATAATCATCAATAAGGACAAATGCTCCTCTGCCCATCCCAGTCTATTAGCCACAAAGCAGCCAAAGTGATGCTTAAAAAATCCTATTTAAGGCCTGGACACTCTGTTGCTTAAAACTTTCAAATACATTTTTAACTAATTCAGAGTAAAGTGCGAATTCCAGGGCCCACTATGTAGCCTAATAAGCCCTTCTCTACTCTGTATCCAGCCCCATCTCCTCCACTCTCCTTTTCACTCACTCCACTTCAGCAAACACTGTCCTCTTTCCCATGTTCCCTGGACATGGCGGGCATGTGTCCACCTCCGGCTTTCACATGGGCTGGTATTCACACGTCAACTTAGAATGTTTCCCCCCAGAAAGCTACTCCTTTATTTCATGCAGATTGTTTACTGAAATGTGATCAAAGGGACCCTTCTTTGCCACCTGAAACAAAATATCATGCCCCTCCTCTCTCCTTTTTCTTTTTCTATTTTTCTTTCCAGCACTCAATTGCCACCTGGTGCATATGCTTAAAAAAAAAGTATAGTTGACTTGTTGTCCCCTCCCTACTGGCATGTCAGTTCCTGAAAAGAAGGGCTTTTGTTTTCTCTACTATATTCTAGTGACTGGAACAGTGTCTGACACATAGGAGGTACTCATTCATGTTGAATAAATGAAATGAATGTAAATTAACTCATTTCTTTGTGGCATTTATTTTCTTAAATACTGAAATAAAAATATTATTAAACCATTTCAATGAAATAGTATGGTTTTATATTTTCCACATGTTTTTATGCCTTCTTATTTACCCACATCCCAAAGAACATGATCTCTATTAGTGAGTAATACTGATACAAAAAGTTCTGGTGTGTGTGTGTGTGTGTGTGTGTGTGTGTGTGTG